ATCTATACCATACTAATACTAATCTATCTGAATTGCATATAAAGTCCACCTAAATAACATAGTTAGTATTCGACCTATTGCACATATAATCTAATTTAAAGTTGCAAATAAAACTTATAAAAGTTAAGCAAACAAAATACTCATGATGAAAGCAGTTTCATCTGCAACTTGATCTGAAAATCCACCTTCCGTTCCTGGTTTTGCGTGACGACGTCGCGCAGCTACTTATTTATTAAATATCTAACAATGTGGTAGAGAAACCTTTGTGCACGTGCGTACTACATACCAATAATGGTAATGTTAAATATAGGATTAGCCGGTATGCTACTTTTGTGAGACAGTTACACCGCTGCAAGTTAAAAGCACACATACGCAACTCGCAATAAATGCATTCAATCCACTGCTTTGACTCTTATTGATTATGTGATAAAACGGCAAATACGATTTGCTACATATAGCGAGAATATTCAATAAATAAAAATGAATGAATTTAGAGCACTTTTAGAATCCGCCAAAGATGGAAATCCAAGTAAACAATTTGAACTTGGTAATTGTTATCATTATGGTATAGGCACTACTAAGGATGAAAAGAAGGCATTTGAGTGGTATTTAAAATCTGCTGAAGGTGGTGATTCAGGTGGGCAATGTAATCTTGGATTCTGTTACAGACATGGAATAGGCACTACTAAGGATGAAAAGAAGGCATTTGAGTGGTATTTAAAATCTGCTGAAGGTGATAATTCTGGTGGGCAATGTAATCTTGGATTATGCTACGAAAATGGTATAGGCACTACTAAGGATGAAAAGAAGGCATTTGAGTGGTATTTAAAATCTGCTGAAAATGGTGATTCTTCTGGACAATATAATCTTGGATTATGCTACGAAAAAGGCACAGGCACTACTAAAGGTGAAAAAAAAGCATTTGAATGGTATTTAAAATCTGCCGAGAGTGGTAATCCTGATGGACAATATAAACTTGGATTATGTTATCGAAATGGCATTGGAACATTATTTAATCAGGAAAAAGCAAATGAATGGTTGAAAATAGCGAAAATCAATAAATATAAAAAAGAAATTAATTTTGATAATGACAATATTGATGATTTTCTAAAAAACTTTTTAGATGGAAGTAAATTATTAATCCCATGGATTCCATTTAGTGAATTAAAAATTGAAAAAAATAGGAAAAGGAGGATTTGCGACTGTTTATTCTTCGATGTGGACACACTCAGTAAAAGGCGGCATTAATTATGAAACTGTTGCGCTTAAATTATTTAATGGATCAAAAAATAGTTGTAAGGAACTCATGAAAGAGGTAAATTTTTGTAGTATAACGTTTATCATTAAATTTTTTCATTTATTAATACATATAAATTTTAAAGTTGAATACATATTTTAATATCGGAAGTAAAAACGCAACCTTTTTGCAATGTTATGGAGTGTCAAAAGATGAAGCTACTGGTGATTATATTTTAGTTATGCAATATGCACGAATGGGATCGTTACGGCAGAATCTTCACGCTATTGCACAAATGAAATGGGAAAAAAAATTAGAATTATTATTTTATATCACATTCGATCTTCAAATAATCCATTCGCTTGATATTATTCATTGTGATTTACATAGTGGTAATATATTACAAAATGATTTATATAATGCTTATATTGGTGACTTAGGTTTTGCAAGATCAATCAACAATTCTTTAGATACGGATTCTGGTGGAATTTATGGAGCATTACCATATGTTGCACCTGAAGTATTACAAGGAAACACGTTTACCAAAGCATCAGATATTTATTCTTTTGGAATGATTATGTGGGAAATTTCATCAGGAAATGTTGTATATCCTGATCGTGAAAATAGTCATCACGATAATTTAAGCTTAGCAATCGAAATTTGTAATGGATTAAGACCAACTATCCCTAATGGTACACCTCATTTCTATATAGATCTTTTAAAAAAATGTTGGGATAATGATCCAAAAAAACGCCCGACTGCTTTAGAAATTTATGAAATTATTATGAACTGGAGAAATAATACTGAATTATTGTTGGAATTTTTAAAATTTGATGAAGAGATTAAAACAAAAAAGATTATTTATAATATTGATGGTAATACAATTCATAGTAGTCAATTTGTTAGTTATATTAATCAGAATTCAAATACATTAGTTAAAACACCTGAAATTATTTCGAATAACAATATTTCTATTTAATCTATTGAAAAATGATTTAATAATATTATTTTAAAAAATTATTCTATAAAAATTTACTAGGTTGTTATGTGTAGAAATGCCGTTGTGCTAATTTCATACCTAAAGTGCACTCAAATTCGTGAATTCATTTTGACATAATTACTGTTTTCTTAATGTGGTAAAAACCTTTTCTTGTACAAAGAATTACTCATAACACGTTCATAACTCACACAGTTAGAGCAATTTATTAATTTATCATTTAAAGTTTTGTATAAACATATTTAGCAATAGGTCGTTTTTGTTAATTTTTAAATTCATATATTACTTAGACAACCTGACATAATTTATCGGGTTAACCATTTAATTATTTTACGTAATTCACAGGTTTGCTCGGATTTTTCGGTTCGGTTTTATTACGTTAATTATGGCCAAACCGGTTCATATCAGACCTAACATTATCACGAATATTAAACCGAATCTTATTAACAAAATCACACAATTTTATTAGCATTAATATCTTTTTTTATTCTGATAAAATAATTATCACAATTCATAATTGATGATAATATACGATGCTAAGTATTTATTAAGTAAATAAATAAATATATATATCGATATTATTATATATAAGTAAGTACGTTACTTTTTTTTTTTTTCTTAACTAAAAAAAAAGAAAAAAATTTTTTTTTTAACACCATAAATTATCACAAATCTCTAATACTTATTAAAATAACATAAATAATTATAAACTAATACATAACTATATAATGAAAGTTGTTGATTTACAAAAAAAAGGAAATAGTAGTTTCGTAATTCAAGTTTGAAATAAATATTATTAATACAAAATAAATAATGAAATTAAAATATGATACATTCTATCTTGAAATTTGTTTGGAGTATATTTTTCAGGTGATTTCAGAGCAAAAAATAAATAAAGTGATTAGAATACATATATATATATATGTGTGTGTGTGGTTACTGTATATGTTTTCATTCATCTCTATCTTCTAAAATTTCAATTTCCGTTTGAGTAGAAGGTGAATGTGATTTAATCTCAGCGAAACTACCAAATGTGGAGGGACGTGGTTTATTAAGTTTACGTTCTAATGATGAAATTTGGTGATCGCTTTTTTCTACTTCAGGTGAATTAATACGTATAGAAGTTGATTTAGATGTAGTAGATAGTATTGATGAGTGATTTTTTTCAGAATAATATTTATTAGTTGATGATGACGATATCGACGATGATGATGATCGATATGTATTTGGTAAAGAATTTCGTGTAGAAGAATTAAACGTTGTTCTATGTGGAATTAACTGGTCATTTTGAATGAATGAAATTCTGACGGGGGGTGGATTAATAAATGATGATATAGTTGAAGATAATGGTTTGGGAAAAGTAGGTGTAGCAGGAGATAATGGAGGTGATAATTGTGTGGAAAATGTAGTTCTGGTGGGAGAGGGAGAACTAAGTAGCATTCTATTCGAATTTGTAGGACTATAAGGAGTTAATGGTCGTTGTATTCCGTATATTGGGGTAGGAGAACGTTGAAGACTGCGTGGTGCTGATATTATTGGTACATCACTATGGTGCTTAAATCCATAAATTATCGTGTTGAACGAACCAATGCATATGAACATACAAGTTGATAATATTATACTATTAATAAAAAGAAATTTATTATTAGTTTTAAAATAAAGGTTTTATAATAATTTGAAAAGGAATAAACAGATACGTACTATTCAAAAGGCAATTCATAACCAACTATAGTAGCAAATCGATCTAAAAAAAAAAGTATATAGGATTAATTTTATACAATCAAGTGTTTTTTGTAGTTTAAATAATAATATATACTTACAAATAGTCAATGGAAATATAAGAACGACATAGACTAATGGATACCACATTAAACTCATACTAATAAATCGATAATTTATAGATCGTAGTCTAAAACACAAAATTGCAGTCAGAATGATCACCGCAATATTAATAGTCAAAGTAATGTAGTAATTAAAACCATTTCTATAATTGTTGTAATTAGGAGAAATCCAACACCAAGAACCATTGTTGGTATCATAGAAAGGAGAATGAGGAGTTTGGATAATTAAACCCCAAAGGGAAATCGTTAAATTAAAAGGCCATATTATAACCATACTTAAGATTACAAAATTTGTCCACATATAACGAAAAGTGAGCATAAGTATATATAAACATAATATAAGTGTCCAAAAGCCTAGTATTATAGTATTAAAAGAAATGTATCAAAAAAAAAAAGAAAAAGATAAACAACATAAGCGATATATAAAATTACCTGAAGTAACGTCACCAAAATTGATCAAAAAACCTTGTATACTACAGATGGGACCTGTTTTGACAACACCCAATATTACCCATTGATAACTAAACATGAAACCCAAACACAGGAAAAAGTTTGAAAAAAGCAAATTTATCACTAAAAAATTGTCTATGGATTCTCTTATCCTTTTTTGCATCATCTTCCATATGAGTATTATAATAAATGTAACGCTACTTAGAGAGCTGAACAAACACACGACTATCATTACTTTAACATATTTCTCAGAGAGAATTGGATCATTGACATTAATAGAGGAAGTATCATTTTGAGAAGAATTCATAATGATAATTTATGAAGGGGATACATGAAATTATACGGAATAATAATAAGATAATAGATGAATCAAAAGGTTAGAAAGTTATGTAATATCATCTAAAAATTTGTACCAGAGGAAAAAAGAAGAAAGGCGAAAAGAATGAATTCGGTACAACGCTTTGGGAAGAGTAAAAGTTTTAGCGAAGGGTAATGATGCGTATGCTCGTACATAAGCACAAATCAGATACTTATAAAAACTCGAATAAATCCTGTAATACATGAACGTGACTATATTAAAGTTGATTTAAAGATATAAAACTGGTAAATTATTTGTTTATCTTATGCAATAAACCAATCAGGATATTTCTTCGAATCAATACAGTTTTTTTTTGACGACATAACAAACAAATCCTATCATACTTTTTATATTGCGTATCACAATCAAAAAATAATCAAAAAAAAAAGTTCGTATTAAGCCAATAAAATTCCGGAAACTATCAATGATGTGATTCTTTCTTATGCGGTTATTTACGCATGTACATACCGACGCATACGTGCGTAAAAAAGGATTATATAAAGTTTCTTTATATAGAAACATTACCTTGCAACTTCACGTGAAATAGATATTTAGTACAGATTTGAACAGACGCACGTACATATCAGCTATGTACGTACGTACTAATCGTTATGCATTAGTATGCACTAAATTTTTGATCGGATGCATAATTAACAAGCTTATACGTAAAAAATTAAGGAAAATTCTTGTATTATCCTTTTTTTGTGTTAAGGTAAAGACAACTATGAAATTTTCATTTATAAGTCATACGTACTTGGTATATAATTTTTATGATCTACCGCTTTATTACGGCTTTATTAGAAATGATTGATTGAGCAACGTCGTACGCAGTGTTATGCGGATGCTCGAGTCCGTTCGAGCCTTTTTAAGCTGTCTGATTTTCATATAGCTAACAAGTCTATTTCAAAAAGAGTATGCATATTCGTAAAAATTAATTTTAAGCCATTAATTAAAATTGATTAATATAACATAATTTTGCATTAATTAATATTAATTAAAATAATATTATTATCATTAATAGTGTTAAATTTGTCCGAATGTTCATTAAATCGTACGTGTAAATAATTGGTGCAGGTTTGGTAGTATCATAAAAGTACGTACGTACGTACCTGGGTGGAGAATTTATTAAATATACAGTGTATATATGTACAACATTATAAATAAAAACACTGAACATCAAAAAAGGTTTGAACAATCACTTGAACAATCGTTTCAAATAGTTTCGGATTTTTTGGTCATACGTATTACGTATGTGGCGATAAATAAAAAGAACCTTGTATGTAATATGTCTCCCTGATAGATTGCATCCTCGATAGATTTGATAAAACCTAAAATTCGGGAATCGAAAATCAGATAAAAATTAAATTCAATAAACGAACATCCAACAGGCAGAATTTAATAGATGAAAGAATTTGACAATCAATTTTTTATTTTTTTCGATAGTAAATGATAATTGAATTTGTAAACTTTTTCAGATGATTTAATAAGGAAAATGGATATGCAGAAAATGATAACACAAATTAGAACATGTAAAATTTGAGATAATAAGTATTCTATATAATAAAGGAAACAAATAACTTTTACCTGTTACTATCATTATTTAACACGAAAAATAGATACATATGCGTAAAATGGGGTAAACTAGTGTTCACATTATATAAAATGGAATTCTTGGAACAACTATAAGAACGTTTGTGCTTGTTAAGTTTGTATTACTGTATAGTACTACTTCAATAAGTAATACTTCAGTAAGTAATACTTCAGCAAGTAATACTTCAGCAAGTAATACTTCAGCAATTACGTAATAAAGATTTTGCTCGTACATACATATAACGTATACTAAATTACTTCAATGAATGGGATTGGTAACGATGGTAACAATAAATATTATACAAACCAAAAAGAGAATCAAATATTTTTACACGGCTTAAAAAGGGCAATATACAATCTGATTGAGAATTTATACGGAGTATCAGTCAGCTGACGTGTTGTATAATCGAGCTACCTAAATTTTATATATAAATCTTTCTTATAATTCATTTACAAGTTAAATGTGCAAATTCAGTTAAAAATAAAAACCAAAAACAATCTTAATAAAATTGAACGATTCTTTACTACATAACTTTAGTCAAAAGAGCATTATATAATATAATAATTATCATGGGTCAGTCATTTAACTTAAATAATAAAGGATCGTTCAAATTTAGGATTTAAATTTAATATAAATACTAATAAATAAGTATTTAAAATAAACAATTCACTTTTCATATTTAAGTAACTGAATTGATTCCATATAAAATTTAGAATACATCGATTTATTTGACCAATAAGTACAGAAGCATGTATATTCAATATGTAAACTCTGTAACATGTCGGCTGATTGCTATATGGACTATGAAAATTTATTGTAATGTACATGTATCCTTTAACTAAATACTAAATCCTAAATACTAAAATAAATTCCAATACACTACGAGTACACTACGAGTTACAAACAAACCACGCTAGCGCACAACAACAAGCCCTATGCACAAACTTTATCAAAGTTGGTTAAAAGATTTGATCTATTAATTAATAAATATATAAATAAATAAAAATATATATTTATATAATTATATGTACAATTGATCAAGAAGTGTGATCAGCATGTTCATTCAGATAAACGATTTTATCCGACAGATAATCGAATGAACCGGATAATTAAAAAACAAATAATACACTTATCATGCAGAAACTTATAATTTTGGACGAATTCCATGACGGATTTCCGGATACAGTAACCCGAAAATTCGGATTATCTATTCATTTAAAGAAATTAGTTTCATCAAGTATGACTATTTAACCAATCCGTGCTAACTCTAGACTTTGTACCAAGGTTATTTATTGCCATGTTATGAATATTTTGTTTAATAAGTTTGACGCAATTATTCGTCACCTACACACATACAATTAATAAAGCCCATTATAACCTGCTTGCATAGACCAAATCCTACGGTTTCACCTAATAATAATAGTAATATTAATAATAATAAGGATAATAATAAGGATAATAATAATGATAATAATAATATCAATACTTACATTAAACTAAAAAATATATATATCATGAAACATGTAAATAAACATTAATTAAAGCTGTGTTTAGGTATGTACTAAATATAATAGGTTAGGTAAAAATAATTAAAAATAATGAAAATTGAATTTTAAACGTAACAAACAATAATTATTCCTATCCCTTACACCATCCTTATTATCATAGTGTAGCTTAAAAATCAAATGAGTGCTTCCAAGAGAAACCCACAAATATTATCTATAAAGATTTACGGAAAGTTAATGATAATTTACAGGAAACTTTGCCGCAAAAACGGTATAAAGAATTGTCCCTAACGTCTTATTCTCTACTATATTAATATAGAAAGAAATGTTTGTAAAAAAGATATTGTCTACACTTTATAGTTAGTATATCATTACTTCTTCTAACTTATATATAAAGCACTTTAGTTAATGATATTTTACTGATAGAATTCTTTTGAAATAATCATTTGAGATTACCATAAAATCAATTCGAAATTTTAAATCTCGGAATTAAATTTAGTCTGAATACATGATTGATTTAACATAACAATCCTTTATTACTATTGATGATTATCTATTGATGATTATCTATTAATGATTAACTATTGATGATTAACTATTGATGATTAACTATTGATGATTAACTATCGATGATTAACTATCGATGTTTAACTATCGATGATTAACTATCGATGATTAACTATCGATGATAAACTATCGATGGTGTTAGTAAAGAGATCCATCTATGTTGAATACTTGTGTAAATTTTATGTACACTCATGTATGCTCATGTATAGCTCATGTAAAATCCTTAATTAAATAAAATCCTTAATTAAAATTAGTCGTCATTAAGACCGAAGACTTATAGGTTCTATACTCGCATACATATTGTCTCCATTATATATGTTATATAAATTTACACTACACATATAACTCTCATATATAAATACCTTTTACAGAATATATTTTCTCCTATTTTTTATCTTACCATCTTATGCTTCAGCCTGCCATAGTCTCATTGTAAAACAACATAACAATATTTTCATCTCCAATTAACATGCCTTACTTTATTTTTATGTAGATCCTGCATACCAACACCGACTTTTATCATTGCTCAAAATTTAACACATATATGTAAATATATATCTATATATTTACTTTCCATTAACTTTCCACTTTTCGAGTAAATAATTTATTTAAAATAATGTTCCTGCATTCAACTATTAATATGAGTACGCGCCAAAATTAACCAATTAATTTTCACGTAATTATTGAATATTTATACAGTCAGTAATCCCTTGCGTTATAAAATCATCAAACTATGAAGATGCCTATCGTGAGAATAAGATTCAGTTTATCGATATAAAATGAATAATAGTAAAAAAATAAACTTACAAATTAACTAAAATAAACTTATTTAATACAATGTTACTCAAAAAAATTGGATGTAAGTGGATCTTTTTTTAGAATGAAATTGTTAATTACATATCGATATGATTTTCTCTGTTGAAATTATATGCATGTACAGTACTATGTACATACACCCATCCATACGCGTGTGTTCAATTAAATCAAAAAATAGGCTTAAATATAAATTACAAAAAAAAAACTTCTAAAATATAATTATATAAGCAAAAAAATCTTCGTTAAAAAATCAATAAATTATATCCGTAATCTTAATCAATTAGATAAATCCAATATTCTAAAAAAAATTAAAATTAATTTGATAATAAAAATATTTAAGAATTTCTACCGTGTATGTACATACATGCAGAGATATGATATATCTCTCTTATTCAACATATCCTACTTAGTTGATATCTTAATCATGTTAATACTTGTCTTTATATTATTTAGAGATAATGTAACCGTATCTATTAAGGGTAGATAGGTTCGGAACGAATATATATATGAAACTAAGCAAAAACTAGGAAAATTTTCCTTTATTAAAGATTACAAGTAAAATCTTAATTAGGTTTCTTTTCTTTTACATATTTATATCGCATTTTACAGGACAATTACTTAATTATGACTGCAATTCGAGTGTTACAAGCAATTACTTAATTATGACTTCAGTTGCTATTACGATTCATAATGATTAATGCTAGCATGATTCTGACCTTACATCACGTTCACATACTATACGTTTTTTATAAATCTCCGATACAATCGTTGCATGAACTTCCAGCACGTTCATTGTGCGATACATGCATTGTGCAATGTGGTTCAACAATTCTCTTACAGATAAACTAATCTTATCATTTTTATTTATAACAGGATAAAAGAAAACCCAAATAGTGAAAAAAAGTTTAGATAAGAATCAGCACTATACAAAGTGAATATATTCAATATTATTCATTTAAATCACTATCATTCAATATTATTCATTTAAATCACTATCATTCAATATATCCTGAACCAAAGAACTACTTTCAAATTCCATATTTATTTTTTCTTTGCTAGTCAAAATAGGTTCCTCTTGACTATTATTTATTCCAAAGATAAGATCTGATAGATCTACAAAGTCCTGAAGAGTCATAGTAATGCTATTTGGTGTAGGGTTTGAGATTTCTATTTCATTTTCTTCGCTTTCATATTTTAAATCAAAATTATTCATTTCTGCAAAGATTATTTCATTTAATACACTATTAAGTAATTCCATTTCCACAAAACTATTATCATAAAATTTTAACTTTTTTTTAGTATTTGAAAATATAAAGAGTGTATTTGCATCATACTTTCTAATTGTAAAACTTGAAGGCATGTGTGATGTCCTTCACTAAACTATTTCAAAACTAAAAAATTTCATTCACAATTGGCCTGTGAAGACACAATTGCAATCATAGTTTGGGTTAGTTCTTGTAAGTATGTATGTTCATCTTCAACAACATCTTACCATATAGAAGAAGTTAAGTTAGAAGTACATTTGAGATCTCAGGATGTAACTTTTGCTTTATATTTGATTAGTTGATCTACTAATTTATGACATTCTTTTTTATTATAATAAGAATCTTTATAATATTTGACCACTAATTCACAAATATAATGAAATTTTTTTTTTTTGAGACCATGATTTCTGTAATTTGAATGTAAAAAATAGGTAAGAAGATACAAAAAATATCAAATTGTTGGTATCAAAAGTTGAATGCTCTAATGGCAAAAGTATAAAAATTGTTACTAGTAGGTATTCTCTTAAGAGCAGCTACTATTTGAACTATTTCTATAAAACAATCAGCCAAGCTTGCTGTATGACTTTCAAGTAAATTAATTATATACTTAAGTAACTCAAAAATTAAAGAAATTTTCTTGCATGAAATATAGAAAATTTCATTTTCATTATAAACAATTTCAGATACTTCTTTATTAGTAAATATATTAAGTTGCTTTTCAAGAATCTAAAAAAAAAAATAAAAAATAAAAATTTTGAAAATAAGGTCTACTAAGTAAAAATATACATCTTCAATTTCATGTATTTTATTTTTATGAAATAAAATATCTGAAAATAAGATTTACATGTTATTACTTAGCATATTAAATAATTATATATTAATTTATATCTTATCAATTGTAAGTCTAATATATATAATAGAATTTGTTGTATTATAAATAGATACTCAATGTGTTTTACAATATGTTTCTAATAATCCACCTTTAATATTCATTAATAAAATTATATTTCATAAAAGCTGATTTGCTAAATAAGATTTTTGAAAAAATAAAACTAGCATATTAGTTTGTTTTAAAATAATCTTAATTAATGTAATTTTTACAAGATCAGCTGCTATAAGATTTAGAGCATAGGTAATATAATGAATATTTAAAGTATAAAAATAATTATAATTAATAATTTGTTGTACAACATATACAGTTATATTTACATAAAATTAAATTTTTGTTTTTTGTATTTCAGCTTCCATTTTAATAACAATTTATACAATTTCTCTATTAAGTATTTTTTCTGTAAGTATATTTTTATGCAGTAACATATAACCTAACTACAAAAGCATTAAAAAATCTTGAAAATATGAATTATCAATTAATACAAAGAGAATTCTGCAATATACAAAAGCTTTAAATAATGTTTTTATAATCTTTGCAGATTGTTGAGGAAATAATTAACTAATATATTGATAGTGGAAAGTAATTAATTGATTGGTCTTTTTTGTTTTTTTCTAAGAAGATTCTTCATCTTTATTATTCACTTTTTAACCTTTTTTGGCAATCTCAATTAACTATTTTCTTCTAATATTATTTGGAACTGGTCTCTTGCATTGGAGTGCTAAATGAGCTTTTATAGTTAAAGATTTTCCATGTTGCCATTTTTCTTAATTACAATAATAACAGATTGCTTCTAAAATGCCTATGCCCATCTTCTTTACTTTCACAATAATCATTCCAAATCAGCATTCTGAATCTACCTCCTTAACTTTTTTACATTTTATGTTATGCAGAAATATAAGTAACTATTGGTAGTAAGAACTAGTAATTCAATTTGAACATATGTTTCTTTTATAATAACTTTACAAAAAAAATTTTTTGTATATTATGTGAAATTAAACACTAAGTTTATATATAAGTTAAATTATTTTTTATATTTGAATAATTAAGGCTTTAAAGAACATATTAAAATAAGTATACATAATATATTAGAAATAATCATGCCATTAATATAAAATTATTATTTTCATAAGATACTAATTCTAATATTACTTTATAGTAGTTATACAAGATTCTATTCAATAAATACATGTTATTTAGCAAAAATGCAACTGTTTGTATATATGAAAATTTTGGGCAAAGATATCAAATAATTACAGCAACTAATCTATAGATGAGTATTGTGAAGAGAAAACCTGTAAGTAAATATTTAAGCTATAATATAGTAGCTTATTGTATTATAATTTAATAGATAAGTTTGCTAATAATAACTTAAATGTTCATTTACAGATTTTCTTCTTATATTACTTAAATCAAAAAGATTATTAAAGTGTGACTACTAAAATTCTTTACAGAATAATAGAATGTTAAAATACTTATAGTTTGATTTCAGTTAGCTTTTATTTTATAAGTAGTATATATAAGAAATGTTTATATTTTAAACATTTTTATTATAAATTTTATATAACAATAGCTAATTTTTATTCAATACTATGTTATTTAGGTAATTACAGATTGAATTTAATACTATAACAAGGTTTGTCTTTTTTGTTAATAAGTTTTAAATTTTATTTAGCATTCAATATTGTGTATCCTAATTAAGTTGGAATATTCTACTACTATTTAATCTAATTTATTCTATTATAAGTTGTTTCAGCAATATTAAGTATAAGTAAATTTTTTGTAAAATAATTAGTTAGATAAAAGTTAATTTATATAAATTTAAAAAGTAACTTTGATGTTCATGCACACTTGAATAAACAAGAGAAAATTACTATTGATTTAAAAACTATAAACTTTAATTTCACAGTACAAAGATAAGTATAATTATTTATCAAATATGAAATAACTCTATTACTAACCTTATTAAAATCTAGCATTGTCAAAACATAAAGTAAATATTTTCTGAAAAAAGTATTAACTTGATAGATAAGATTTCTACATATTATGCTAACTATTTGTAACAATATTATAATTTCTCTGTAATTTTTCTTTTTCATTATTTTTCTAAGTCTTTTCTTAATTACATGCTAATTACTATAGTTAATTTAGCTATATTTAGTTTATTAGTTTATCAAATATAATTAGAATTAATTTAGCAAATGTAATATAAATAGATAAGCATCATTATAACTCATTTACTTTACCCTATAGTGCAATTTTGCTTATCAATGATGTGATTAACATGTGTATTAATAATTGACTTTGATTTGTAATGATTTATATTTATTTTTTATTTTTATCTTTATTTATTATTAATCATATGGAAAAATCTAATATAAACTCTTTTTGCAAATTCATTGCACAAAAATTAATAAAAAAATCATCTGTCTAAAAACATCTATAACTATTTATTTTATTAAGATAACCTGTCTTTGTATCTTAAATAAATATGTCCAACTCAGTAATTTATATATACTTTGAAAATATTGCAGATTTATCTTTTAAAATTATAAAGAAAACTGTACTGATGGCCTTTAGTCTTCAATTTTAGAAAATTAACACTTCTGCAGGTTCTATTACAATAACATGTCTTACACTCTTAATTAAAGTTATAGTGCATACCTGTCTGGTCAAAACAAGTTCTAACAGAAGAATTTTGATTCAATATTGATAGAACTACAGCTAAATTCATCTTTTACTCTTTTGTAAAACTCTTTTTTTATCTTTTGTCTCTATTCTATTTCTTTTTTTTCTTACATAACTTTCATATAACTACTATCATTTCCCAATATATACTTCATTAATTTATACCAAAATTCTGGAACCCATCTATTAATAGAAAATTCATTGAACACAATCAGTTATTACTATATTTAGTTCTTATTAATTGTATACTGCAATTTGTGTTGCAAACTTTATTTGTATCAGTATCTGAGTTATATTTGTGACCCTAACCATTCTAGTTATATACCAGTATTATTTTGTAATACTTCAACTATACTACCCTTGCCCCTATCTATTATCCCAATAAAATCAATTATTCAACTATTAGAAATCTTTCTAAGTTTCTAATACAATACTTATCTAATTTATAACAATTTTAAAAATACTTATACTAAGCAACCAAGAGCCTAATACTGCAAACCTTAATTTCTTCTATCAAAACTTCTCTAACAATTTTGGAATTACCCTTTATTAAAAAGAAAATGACAACAATGTTCATCCAATTCCTCCTAAAATCAAACCAACTTTTTGTCTAATTAAAAATCTTAGAAATAATAAAATTACTTACTTTTTTCAAGTTCCTATTTCTATCTCTGTAATTACTTGTCTCTGTGGCAAATATCATACTAAATTTATTTCAACTTCTAACACTAACTATATTCAAGCTACTAAATTTATTACAGTCCATGTTAACAGCAATGCAAAAAAGCATCTTAACAAACCAGTCCAACAACTTTTAACTAACCTCTCCTCTTCAATTAACAATATTCCTCCATCTTCTACTTCTGATATACATTATCATACTTGTCCCAAATGCTCTCTTCCAATTGGTTGTATCAAGAGAAATGACCAACATTACCCTAATAAAAAATATGTTACTAAAAACAATGATGTCTACCACCTCACCTGCATGACTGTCTCATTTCAACATGAAGCTAGCTTATTTTAAATTAAGAAAAATCTTATTCAAACCTTCCAAAACATCCTATATGAATCTTTTCAAATTACCAATTCTTTTATTACCTCTTCTTACCAAACCTCAACTTCTTCTGATCTTATTGATTCCTTCTTTATTACAACTACTAATACTAATCCTATCTCTAATCAACCCTTTATTACTAATATTTCTGATAATGCTAACTTAAATCTTAACAATTCTAACAATACTAACTCATCTAATAGTACTCCTAACAAACCTTTTCCTCAAACTTATTCTAGTATTGCTAAACCAAAATCTAACCTTACATATAATTGGCTTGCAAATTTTCCAATTCTGAAGAAATGCAACCTAACAAGAAATTATAAACTACTTTTTCTTACCAACATTTACTTTTCTTAAAAAATTTCTTTATGATTTTTATTCTAATAAAGAAATCAAGCCTGCCACCTCTATTTAACTTGCACTTAAGGCCTCTTTTTACTATATTATCTGTATCATGATTGGGTAATAGCCAAATTTCTTAACTGATCTTATTTATAATAGCAATCCTAATATTAATAAAAGTACTACTATTCCTTTTGACCTTCTTAAATCTATTTTCAAAAATCTACTTTTTAAATTTACAACTATTCTCTTCACAAAACTTAACTATCTTGAAATCTTTGCCTCACTAGTTACAATCTCTTTATATATTACTCACAACTGTCTCCAATTCTGTTTCAATCTTGTATGACTCCATCTCTTCTTATCCAATAACTACCAAACAATTAACTATCAGAAATTTGCTAAAAATTTAAAACTCAGATCTAAAAGATTTAAAATTGAATCTTTTACTCAAACAACTGACCTTAATCAAAAATATCTTACCATCCAGTCAAATGCTAGATTCAATATTAAGCTCTTTTTTAATATTTTTAAAACATTATTTCTTGAAAGATTTTGCATTCCTTTTCTCAAAAACTTATTTAATCATTTTAATTCTTGGTTTAAAACCTATTTTCCTCCTTACAGTGACAATTTTTTTCTAGTATTGACAAAGAAAAAGTCTGTACATCTTTTAGAATACAATTTCACCAACACTTCATTTTACAACTTTTCAAACATCTTCCTGAATCTTATATTTTTAAAAAACCTAACTCATTCCATAAACAATATGAAGAAGCATTTCATGTTGCTAACTTTCACTGTCTCACTTGTGACAACAAATTATGCTCATACCTTGATGATAAAAAATTTTATAACAGTACCAAACTCTTTAATAACATATTAAGCAAATCTTACTTAATATTCCCTCCTCAAGATGATAAAACATGGATTTATTTAACCTTTAACACTACACTATTTCATAAAAACAAAGAACATATTATCTCATTTAAACAACCTATTCTTACCAAAGCCCTCGACAAACTAGCAGACCAAGCTGAAGATTTTGTTTGTAAACAAAACAAACCTTAAACATTGTAACTATTACTTTTACTGCTATCTCTCCCTCTATTACCAAACTGCTATAGAAAATCACAATATACAGTCTCTTTCCAAGAAGGAAGCAATCAATTTACTAACCAAAAACATTATTGATACTAAATTTTTTGCCCAAATTATTATCTACTTTGATGTCATAAAAACCAAAAATTAACTTATTTGCAAATTGTTAAATATTTCAATAATACTGCTTATCCAGTAGCTGAGAAATTTTTAGCAAAAAAATTCAACCTGGACTTCCAACCTGTTTCCATCCTTGACTCACTTTTTTTACAATCTCCTTTTTAATTTCTTTGTCTTTTACAACACACATTAAAGCAGCTACCATCTTATTAAAAGATACAACCATTGTAGTTAATAAGGAGAATGATATAAGTAGACAGATGGACAAGCCTATTTATATGAAAGGCCATGTTAATGATGGTTAGACCCAATATACAGAACAGACTATGGTACTTTGCACAGCTGTAAGAGCTGAGCATACAGTAATCAACTCTGTAAAAGACAATTTTGAAAGATCATTCACAACATCTTTAATCTCCTATGATCTTTATATATGTTTTAACAAATTCTTTTTTTATTATAATCTATCACTTCTCCCTTATGTTCAAACTATTCAAACTTTAATCAAACATATTGACAAACATAATAACAACAAAAC